ATATTCTATATTCTATATTCTACATTCTACATTCTATATTCTATATTCTATATTCCATATTCCATATTCTATATTCTATATCGCTGTCTCTCTTCCACTCCTGTACTACTTATAATTGTGAAATAGTGTTCTATGGATATCTCACACTTATTTGCAGACAATTTAAGTAATGAAATCATAAATTAAGACGACAGCATTGATTTACTCGCGATGACAAGAAAAACAACATTAAATAAAGTGAAACAGCGCGGATAACCCTACTGGACCCACAGACCATGGCGAACCCACTTAAAAATTCGCTCAGCCTGCGCTCACTGAAGCGTGAAAAGGATGAGAAAGTGGAAGTGGGAGTGGAAGTGGAAGAGCTGTTGAGTGGGTAAGTGGGAATAGCGCATTTAGCGCGCCTTGGGTAAGTAAGAGGTCCAGCAAATGCGCAATAGCAAACATCCAAAGCTGACACAGAGCTGAAGCTGGATGTCCACTCCTGCTGCCAGGAGCAGGATGCAAATCTGATCAAGCCGCTCGCATCCAATCGGTATGTGACAATTGGTAATTGGCAATAGGCATTTGGAATTCGGATGAGCACACAGCAATTAGTGTAGTCCAATGTGCTCGACATTTGGGAGGAGGTGCCCCTACCTCGGAATTGGGGCAGGGACTCGCAGGTGTTGCGCTTGGCATTAAAATGGCATTCCACGGAACCCATAAAGTGGCAATTAAAATCTTATTTTCGCTTATTATATTTCGACTTCTCCTTGGGCTTGGGCTTCGTGCGCAACGCAGCTGCGGGCGCCGTCAATAAACACGTCTACAAATTTTACCCATGCCCAGCTTCAGTTCTAAAAAATTTGTCGCCTGAGTTGCCACCTGTTTCCGTTTCATTTTTTCGCTTGTTGGGATTGGGGTTGGGGCCAGGAGCAGGAGTTGGGGGTTGGGGGTTGGGGGTTGTCGCGTAATTGAATCATTTTAGCGCCATTTATTTTCTTGTTGCTCTACCTCCCGCGCCCTGGTTCAAGGGCGTGACATTTGTAAAACAATTTCTATTTCGAAATGAAATCCGTAGCAATAACAACAACAACAACAACAAATACGCTGAGAGCAGGCACATAAATAATAATGCGTTAAATTTATGCGCTGATTAATGCGAAGCAGTCGATCAACAGAGCCGCGTGGCAAAGCCAAAGGCAACGGCATTGGCAACGGTAAAGCGTAACGTTTTCCTGCTCAGGTGTTTGCAGCATCCAGCACAGAAAGTTCATATAAATATTGGGCTGGCCAGTGAGAGAACTCTAAAGTCTGCAATAAAATTGAGCTAAGTTTAGTATATCTATAGGAAGTCGTAAGTGAGTTAGTCTTATATAGTAGTTTTTTGTATATCATAACGAGCCTTTCTCCAATTATAATAAACATGTGAGTGCTTGAGCACAACGAAGGCTTTTTAATCTATCTTGCTAATACAGGAGAAATAAAAACATATACATATACAAATACACTTATAAATGCGAAAAATGCAAATAAATATTCGGCTACTCGATAAATAATTTCATTAAAATAATAAACAATTTACTTACCCAAAATAGGAATGGAGCTAATTGATGCTCTTGATATGCTAGGCTCGACACCCTCTCCAAGGAACAATTGCTCCTGCGAGGGAATGTTGCAGCTGTTTCCCATGAATCCCAGAGTTTGAGCGACCACAGAATCTCGAAATTCTGTTTGCTAGTGCCTTCATAGACGTAAATGAGCAAAATAATTAAGATGATTTCTTCCTAATTAAACAGGGCCCAAAAAAGGCTGTGTGTTATTATAGACTAAGCTTTGCTTTAAATTTAGTTGAAGTTGAAAATAAAAGAAGAATTATCGCTAGTCTATGGCTATATAAGCATTTATCTCTCAGATTTCTCATGCCCACAAAAATCCAGAAAAGCTCATCAAATTAAACGATTCGCAGCCCCAGCCCCAGCTCCTGCCACAGACCCCCTTGCATCAAGCCAAATACGCAGGCATTTAGCGAAACGTTTATTTCATTATTACGCATGAGGGGGAAGCATCCGCAGCACTCATTGCATTGGCCTGGCAGTGGCCCTGCACAAAAGTCAAATTGAAAAAGTCAGAAATGTGTCGGGCGCACCAAACAAAAGCCGAGGGGAGGCTAAAGTGGCCCACCCACCGGGGGTGGCATCGTGGCTAAAGTAAAAACCGTAGCGGAAGTACTAGCAACAAAACAACCAGGAAGCCCACCACCGAACACTCCGTCAAGCGGCTCACTCAGCCCAAAACAGCAGAAAAATTTAAATAAACCCTTACCAGAACAGCAGGCTAACACAAGTAACAACTACCTGCTTCGGCTGCCCAGCTAAAAGATACCCTGTAAGGGGATTTTACTATTGCAGCTATGGAAATATACTTAATGTGCGAACATATCATTATAATATATCTTATTTCTAATTTTAAATAAATGAGATAGAGAATTTCTTGAGTTTACTATGCTCAAATTTCTTTAAAGATTGTTTGTTTAGAGATATGTTGATATATACATATTTAAATTTATTTTTAATATTTATAGTTAATATGAAATGAAGCGCCTTCAGTCTCTCCACTCACTCCGCCAATTTACGGGGTATAAGTAGGCAGACACTTGTGCTGGGTGTCAACCCCTCGGCGAGTCAACCTCAAATCACATGCATAAGGTTTTTAAGTTTTGTGCTTTGTCATATAAGTGCGTGGAGGACGATCTGTAGATACAGTTGTAAAGATATGGTAACAGCCGCGTAATGTGACAGCATTTCCAGTTACAGCAGCGAGCAAGAGAGACAGAGACAGAGACAGAGAGACAGAGAGAGAGAGAGAGGGTGTGAGAGACAGATAGATGAAGGGTACACATGTTTAGGCGTTGCCGGCGCCTGATTAAAATTTCTCAAGGGATGGGGCTATGACGTATGTAGCTCACTCGCTTTGAATGCTCCACGAGGGTGGTCAAAGAGAAACAGAGTTTACACTTGAAAAATAAAAAACGTGTTTGAGAGATCATTAATTTAATGATAATAAATATGAAACTTTTACTTCGAATTCAATTTGTATACATTTTCTTTTTCCAGTCTTACTATTTCTTTATATATGAAGATATAGAGACTGCTAGACTGATATTAAAAAAAAAAAAATTGTTTATTTTTCTACTTATTTAAATATAATTATTTTTATTGCTGAACCAATGTAAAGTTTCTAAATAATTTAATATTAATTAATTAGAAAAACTCTCTGCTCCGCCCACTGTATCTCAGAGGCGGTCATCAGACATATTCTGGTTACGTAAGCCCACTTGTAACACCCGAACGAGTGTTACGTGCCCAATTTGTTTATATTGCTGTTCTATTTACATTTACATGCCGCCCATTCAAAGGACAGCCCAGCCAATGTTTAGATATCACTTTTCGCAAATATCGACATCTATGGCAAATAGTTGCCCCAGTAATTGGGGCACTTATTTACCTATGGGAAACACTCGCCTAGCTCGATGATAGTTCATTGGAAGTGCTCCAGCTGAAATTTAATTAAGGCGTCCAGGTGACAGTGCTGCAAGTTGCCCAGGCATATCATAAATCAAAGTGTGTGAGGGAGCGAGAGAGAGATAGAGCGAGGGAGGAGGAGGAGTGAGCAACTGCTGCAAGTGTCGGCAACATGTGGCAGTCAAGAGAAAAAATTGAGCTAAAGAAATAAGCACTGCGCCGCAATCAAAGTGAAATGGCGACAAGTATGAATGCCTAAGTCAGAAATATCCGACTATAAGATATCCTATGGCCCACTTCTTTAAAAATGTGTGAGTTTGATTGAAATTTATTACAATTGAAAGCAATGTTAAGATTGTTGCTGACGTGAAGCGAACGTTGAAGAGCTCATAAGTCGAATAGTAAACAGGTGTGTATTAATTTAAAAGTAGATATGTATAAACTATCAAGTGTTTAGCCTATGTAAAGTCAGATGGAAGGATATAGAAATATATGTCTGTTGCAGCTACTTACATACATATATACTTTTTGAATGAAATCAACATATCCTGCAATGCAGCGATCCTAGGGCATTCAAATGTCCAGAACTTCGCGACTTTTTTCGCTATTTGACATGGTCAAGTTTAATTGAAAAAAATGAATACATATATACATACACATATATATAATATAATAAGAGAAGAAGAAGAAGAAGAAGAAAAATCAACAATTCAAATGTTGAGTGCGACATTTGATGCTTGCGCAGCTGCTCATAATTAGAATTGGAAGCAGTAAAAAAAAAAAAAAAGAGAGAATAAAATAAAAAATAAAAAAGCAATATTAATTTATTCCTTTTTGCGTTGTTTTAATTGAAATTTCTTTTCAGTTTTACTCACATTTTACTTCTCTTTTTGGCTGCTGCAGATAATTTTAATAACCCGCCCTGTCCGGCGGATGCGCCGGTAATTGCCGTGGAAAACCGGATGATAAGGCCGAGCCAGTGGCAAAATGGAGCAACGTGCGAGTAGAAGTAGATGTAGGAGGAGAAGAAGAAGAAAAATAAAGGTTACATTTTTGGGGGTAAAAGGGTTCACTTTTTGCCCATCTTTCGTTTTATTAACAAATTTCACTTTATTCACGCCGCACGTTACGTTATTATAATTAATAATTGGAAGAAGGCAGTTAGGGGATTCTACGGCGCAGGTTGCTCCACGCCAGTTGATTAAATTTGACACAGTTTACGACGAAGGGAAGGCGTGGCAGTCTGGTCAAGCAAAAGGGGCAAAAGGGTTCAAATTGTGGTT